TTTTTATTTTTATTTTTGTCTTGACAACTTTGTAACTAAGGAGCGAGTCTTGTTCCATAGAGCTTCTCCACTGACAGAGTACTTATCCAGTTTATATCTAACTAGACTAAATAAAGAACACTCGTGTGCATGCGCGTTACACGAGACAATTGTTATATTATACATAAAGTTAAAAAAGTTTTGCAGTGTAATATTAATTTATACATACATATATATGTAGACATATTTATATAAAATTTTAGTGAAAAGTTTCTTAATATGTGTTACATTCCTTGTTTTCCTATTTTTGTTGTTCTTCAGAACTGCAACATACAAATTTTAAAATATATTAGTGATAATTATTAGGAAGATTGAAAATATTAGGACAAATTACCTTGATCCTAATCTTTATTTTTATTTCCATTTTAGTTTATCTCTTGGAATTTTTATCTTTGTAATAATATTTACTTTCTCCCTTATAATTTTGCCTCGCCGTTTTTTATTTTTATTTCTATTTTTATTAATTTTTTTATTTTTATATTTGTCTTGATGACTTTGTGAATAAGGAGCGAGTCTTGTTCCAAAGAACTTCTCCATTGAGAGAGTACTTTTTCAGTTCATATCTGACTAGACTAGATAAAGACTAGTCGTGCGCATGCGCGTTATGCGAGACAATTGTTATATTATACATAAAGTTGAAATTTTTTGCGGTGTAGTATTAATTTATACATACATATATATGTAGACATATTTATATAAACCTTTAGTGAAAAGCTTCTCTTGGCCCCATTCATTTCACCGATTCAAGTTTAGAATACGAGTTTTGCCACAGTAAAAAGCTCTCAGAAACAGTCACATCTAACTTTTTTGCTACAGTAAAAAACTCTCACATAAAATCACTTCTCAACTTAAATTAAAAACTCAAATCAGCGAACTAAACGAGCCTTTAATATGTGTTAGATTCCTTGTTTTCCTATTTTTGTTGCTCTTCAAAACAGCAAAATACAATTTTTGAAAAAAATTTGTGTTAATTATTAGGGAGATTGAAAATCTTAGGACGTATTACCTTGATCTTTATCTTTATTTTTGTTTCCATTTTAGTTTATCTCTTGGGATTTTGATCTTCGCAATAATATTTACTTTCTCTCTTATAATTTTGTCTCGACCGTTTTTTTATTTTTATTTTTATTAATTTTTTTATTTTTATTTTTGTCTTGACGACTTTGTGAGTAAGGAGCGAGTCTTGTTCCAAAAAACTTCTCCACTGAGAGAGTACTTATCCAGTTCATATCTAACTAGACTAGATAAAGACTAATCGTGTGCATGCGCGTTACGCGAGACAATTGTTATATTATACATAAAGTTAAAAATGTTTGCAGTGTAGCATTAATTTATACATACATATATATATGTAGACATAGTTATATAAAATTTTAGTGAAAAGTTTCTTAATATGTGTTACATTCCTTGTTTTTCTATTTTTGTTGTTCTTCAGAACTGCAAAACAAAAATTTTAAAAAAAATTAGTGATATTTATTGGGGAGATTGAAAATCTTAGGAAATATTACCTTGATCTTTATCTTCGTTTTTGTTTCCATTTTAGTTTATCTCTTGGGATTTTGATCTTTGCAATAATATTTACTTTCTCCCTTATAATTTTGTCTCGACCGTTTTTTTATTTTTATTTTTATTTTTGTCTTGACGACTTTGTGAGTAAGGAGCGAGTCTTGTTCCAAAAAGCTTCTCCACTGAGAGAGTACTTATCGAGTTTATATCTAACTAGACTAGATAAAGACTAGTCGTGTGCATGCGCGTTACGCGAGACAATTGTTATATTATACATAAAATTAAAAATTTTTACGGTGTAGTATTAGGGCCCGTTTAGTTCGCTGATTCGAGTTTTTAATTCGAGTTGAGATGTGATTTTATGTGAGAGCTTTTTACTGTAGCAAAAAAGTTAGATGTGATTGTTTGTGAGAGCTTTTTACTGTAGCAAAACTCGAATTCTAAACTCGAATCAGCGAAATGAATGGGGTCTTAATTTATACATACATATATATGTAGACATATTTATATAAAAGTTTAGTGAAAAGTTTCTTAATATGTGTTACATTCTTTGTTTTTCTATTTTTGTTGTTCTTCATAACTGCAAAATACAAATTTTAATAAATATTAGTGATAATTATTAGGGAGATTGAAAATCTTATGACAAATTACCTTGATCTTTATCTTTATTTTTCTTTCCATTTTAGTTTATCTCTTGGAATTTTTATCTTTGCAATAATATTTACTTTCTCCCTTATAATGTTGTCTCGACTGTTTTTTATATTTACTTTTATTTTTATTTTTGTCTTGACGACTTTGTGAGTATGGAGTGAGTCTTGTTCCAAAGAGCTTCTCCACTGAAAGAGTACTTATCCAGTACATATCTAACTAGACTAGATAAAGACTAGTCGTGCGCCTGCGTGTTACGCGAGACAATTGTTATATTATACATAAAGTTAAAAAATTTTGCGGTGTAGCATTAATTTATACATACATATATATGTAGACATATTTATATAAAAGGTTAGTGAAAAGTTTCTTAATATGTGTTACATTCCTTATTTTGCTATTTTTGTTGTTCTTCAGAACTGTAAAATACAAATTTTAATAAATATTAGTGATAATTATTAGAGAGATTGAAAATCTTAGGACAAATTACCTTGATCTTTATCTTTATTTTTCTTTCCATTTTAGTTTATCTCTTAGAATTTTTATCTTGCAATAATATTTACTTTCTCCCTTATAATTTTGTCTCGACCGTTTTTTATTTTTACTTCTATTTTTATTAATTTTTTATTTTTATTTTTGTCTTGACGACTTTGTGAGTATGGAGGAGTCTTGTTCCAAAGAGCTTCTCCACTGAGAGAGTACTTATCCAGTTCATATCTAACTAGACTACATAAAGACTAGTCGTGCGCCTACGTGTTACGCGAGACAATTGTTATATTATAATTTTTAAAGTGTAGTATTAATTTATACATACATATATATATATATATATGTAGACATGTTTATATAAAATTTTTGTGAAATGTTTCTTAATATGTGTTGCATTCCTTGTTTTTCTATTTTTGTTGTTATTCAGAACTGCAAAATACAAAATTTTAAAAAAATTAGTGTTAATTATTAGGGAGATTGAAAATCTTATGACAAATTACCTTGATCTTGATCTTTATTTTTGTTTTCATTTTAGTTTATCTCTTGTGATTTTTATCTTTGCAATAATACTTACTTTCTCCCTTATAATTTTGTCTCGACCGTTTTTTTTATTTCTATTTTTATTAGTTTTTTTATTTTTATTTTTATCTTGACGACTTTGTGAGTATGGAGCGAGTCTTGTTCCAAAAAGTTTCTCCATTGAGAGAGTACTTATACAGTTCATATCTAACAATACTAGATAAAGACTAGTCATGCGCATGCACGTTACGCGAGACAATTGTTATATTATACATAAAGTTAAAAATTTTTGCGGTGTAGTATTAATTTATACATACATATATATGTAGACATATTTATATGAAATTTTAGTGAAAAGTTTCTTAATATGTGTTACATTCCTTGTTTTCCTATTTTTGTTGTTCTTCATAACTGCAAAATACAATTTTATTAAAAAAATTAGTGTTAATTATTAGGGAGTTTGAAAATCTTAGGACAAATTACCTTGATCTTTATCTTTATTTGTGTTTCCATTTTAGTTTATCTCTTGGGATTTTTATTTTGCAATAATACTTACTTTCTCCTTTATAATTTTGTCTTGACCGTTTTTTTTTATTTCTATTTTTATTAATTTTTTTATTTTTATTTTTATCTTGACGGCTTTGTGAGTATGGAGCGAGTCTTGTTCCAAAGAGCTTCTTCATTGAGAGAATACTTATCCAGTTCATATCTAACTAGACTAGATAAAGACTAGTCATACACATGCACGTTACGCGAGACAATTATTATATTATACATAAAGTTAAAAATTTTTGCAGTGTAGTATTAATTTATACATACATATATATGTAGGCATATTTATATAAAATTTTAGTGAAAAGTTTCTTAATATGTGTTACATTCTTGTTTTCCTATTTTTGTTGTTCTTTAGAACTGCAAAATACAAATTTTAAAAAAATTTAGAGTTAATTATTAGGGAGATTGAAAATCTTAGTACAAATTACCTGATCTTTATCTTTATATTTGTTTCCATTTTAGTTTATCTTAGAATTCCCCATCTCCACCATTGTCAAACTACCCAAAACCAAACCCTAAGCCTTCTGATTTTCCCTCTCTCTTCTTTCTCTCAAACCCACTTCTCTTTCTACCATATGTTGTGCTGTCAACCTTCTGGGCAATCGCAACGACACCGGGGCCGGGAAATCGCAAGAATCTCCGTCAGTCGAGATTTGATCACCCTGGTGAAGGCGAAAGTCCATCGAACTTCTGATCAATCACGAATCATGATTTCCCAATCCCAAACCTCGTGACATGTGCGTCGAGATCTGATTTCATCCCGTCGGGAAATTGTAGTCCCGCCAACGAGCACGAACCACATTCCGACATAGGCCGTCGCGAACGAGTCCGACCGACTTCTGTTCAAGATCATCGTTGGAGACGTTGTGGCCGGCATCCGCAAGGGGCTTCGGGAGGGTTGTCTCCACGGGGTCAGGGTAGAACTTACCTTCGGAGGGTGGGGTTTGAGGAAGCTGTGGTGGCGCGTTAGATAGAGAAAGGGAGGTTGGGGAGTGAGAAGATAATAAGGGTGTTGAGGTTTAGGGGCAGTCTTGTCTTTTCATCATCGCGTGATGGTCACGTGTAAAATTATGTCAGAAATTTAACAAAAATAGACAAAAATGACTTAAATTACTAACGTTTTAAGAGCTCAGGGTTTGTTTTGCCAAAACAAAAAAAAAATTAAGAACCAAAATATCACCTACTAAAAAGATTAGAAACCATCCGTGTGAATTACCTTAAATTTTACACAATCACGTTGGGAATATTGGTGTCCTAATCATTGAATATATTGTAATTTTATTTTCTTTTACAATAAAGTTCACTCAATGCATTCATGATGTGAATGTATAACTGGTTATTGGCATTTACGAGATGATTTTGTTGTTTCTTACAAAGAATCCAAGACTATAGAAGCAAAGTTTGAGTAGATTGACGAAAGTGGGATTAAAGATAACTAGGAGGCCTAGTAAACAGATTAAAATTGGTAAGAATACGTACAATGCACCCCAAAGTAATGCGGTACTTTGGATTTTCAAGCTTAAAATTTTTTTTTTTTTTAAATTTTTTCCTTGGTCATAGAATTAGGTATTTCCAACACCAACAGAATCTTTTTCGTGTACAGGAGGACAGTGTTGATTGAATCTAAGTTCTCTTTGTTGGGGCGAAATAATTAGCAATGCTGGAACCTCGTCTAACTATGTCTGGTCGCTTGCGAGGCCGGAGCCAGGCCCGAAATTCTTCCTGAATTTCTGGAGGCAACTCTTCGATGACGGAGGGGTCAATCTCATCAACCTTGTAACTACATGCTGCTATTGATTCTCTTCCTTCTTCAACATGCCTCGCATTCTCACGCGCACTCGCTTCCAAATGCGTTAAAATGTTTCAATTCGAAATTGTTATTGTTCATTGCAAAAGCTTATACTTATATCTTAACATGGAGGCATATATATATATATAGAGAGAGAGAGAGAGAGAGAGAGATGGGATGGGACATTGAAATTACCAGTGGGTGATAATGCTTCAACATCTTGTAGATTGTCGCCATGTTCTTCCTTGATTAAAGAGAGAGAGGAAGGTGGGTCGGTCTTTTTGAAGAATCTCAAGATTGAATGTGTTCCCTGCCATAAAGATATTATCATGACACGGGCTATAACACTTTTCCAAAATCCTAAAACGTCCACTATAAAAGGTTAGAATAGAGTAAATGACCAAGGATTATTACAGAAGAGGTCAGGGTAAAGCATCATCAAACCTTGTCTTTTGATGTCTTTCTTTTAGCATCTGTTCTATTTGAACTGGACACTGCAAATTGTTGTGGAGGGAAAACTCTTTGTTGCTGGCTTTGATTTCTTATCCCCGAACAGCATTCAGTTCCTGGATGATAACTGCGGTTTGTTATGACGGTGGGATGAAAAGCGCTTGTAGCCTAGTGGCAAATGTAGATATACCTGAGTTCCGCAAGGAAGCTTCTTGAAAGTCATCCTGTCCCTTACTTGGCAACAAGCAACTTGGATTCTGCAGGGCAGAGCAAAATGAGATCTGAAACACATGCAGGTTGAAAATTACTAGATTATGCAAGGAAATCATAACCTGGTCTTTCTGCAAATCCTGTTTGTGCTCTTGTTGATCTAAGCAAGGCATCACGCATTTGGTATTTGAATCTTCACCAGGGAACTTCATTTCTTGCTCGGTTAAATTCATTTCTGAACAGCTTTCACTAACTACAAAAAATACATCACTTTTAGAGCAATAAAAGAAGTATTGAAAGTTCTGAAAATGCTTGAAGTGGCAAAGTGGAGTGCAGACATTGGCCGTGGAAGAATCTTGAAGAGTAGAGATGAATCTGGTAAACCTGAAGGTTCCTGTATATCATCATCTTGCGATTGCTTTGACAATGAGGCTGACGGATTTTGGCCATGAAAGTATTTCATGATTGAAGACGTTCCCTATCATATGTAAAGTAGCATGGTAAGACTAGACAGAGAAATAAATTAATAGTCTAGGACAAGTGACATTTTACATGAACTCCCCACTTTATTTATTTATTTTTATTTATTTGGGCATTGTAGAAATCTTTGGAATCCATTTAATGGGCTTGAGCTTGAAACTAGAGTCCTTAATATTCTTCAGGAAGCAGGAAACTCATGACTAGTCAACCAAGTAAGCACTCTGAAAAAATTGAAACCCAGACCATATGGAACCAAACCAAATAAGTTGCGATAATAATTTATTTTACGTAAGCTAGTTAGTTACGATAATAATTTATTTTAATCTAGTCACCCCTTATTCGTAGTAAAGTAGGTGTAGCACCAATAGAAGATAAAGTGCACGAAAGCTGCTTGAGGTGGTATGGACATGCCCAACGTAGACTGCTAGAAGCACCAGTTCGTGCTTGGGAGGACATTCTTATACCTAATACTAGGAAAGGGAGGGGTAGACCAAGAATTACGTGGACCGAAGTAGTTAGGAATGACATTCTAGATCTAGGCCTTCAGGAAAGTCTAATTTCGAACAGAGCTGCGTGGAAAAGTGATCCATATAGCCGACCCCAATTAAGTTGGGATTAAGGCTTGTTGTTGTTGTTGTTGTGTGTTGTAGTCACCCCTTAATAAGTTGATTTATACAAACTTTGTGGCCTTTGAATGATTATGGTCAAGTTCCAATACGGGGGAAAAAAAAGGACCAAGAAGATCCAGAAGAGTGGGGAAAGTACAAAAAGTATGGCATCACAAGACTACCCCATGACAAAAGTAGTTAGACTTACAGATGGTATTTCGACAATTTTACTTGCGGAAACAGACAGGCCAGTTATTCTCCATCCACTGTTTTGACTTCCCTGTGGTTTAAATTCCCGTAATCCAGCTTGAAATAGGTTAAAAGCATCTTCTTGCATCTTGGCAGTTCCATACCTTAGGTGACAAGACTTTGAAGGGAAGTTCTTTTGTGAATCTGTGTCACCGGACTGATTCCAAAGAATAACTCAAAACCAGAAAATAACAACAAGCGTAGCAATATCAAGTATAACAACTACAAAATGGGAGATCATCACAGAAAAGTGTTTCAGAACACCAATTATTAGATACAAATTATAAAGTACGTACCTTGTATGCACTAGCATGCAGTGTCAATGTGCGTGCAATCCGTTTGTTTTGGTCCAAGTCAGAGCGAATACGTTCACTCAGTTCCTCACACAGTTCATTTAGCCAATGCTGAACCTGCCGAAATGTATCAGCTGAACTCTATTAAAGTTAAAAATTTTTGCAGGATCAAGAGCATTTAGAAAATACTATTACTAATACAGTGAAAAATGAGTTAGTAAGAGAGTGCTTCAAAAGCTCTACTACTTCAAAGTATAATTTGTAATAAAGAACAAAAATGTTGAAAGAGAAGCAGAGGTCCTCTTGCAAAAACGAAAACAGATGAGAATGAACTGAAATTTTTTGTAACAATTCTTGAGACTGAAAGAGCCCCTAAGAAAATTGAGGCAATTGGTGGGCCCACTCACAGTATCTAGAATTATGCCATGTTAAAAGGATATGACTGTAAAACTAGAGATTTGCTCTAAGGCTATGAAATAATGATTACTAACTGAAGCAATTGTCTTTAAAGCTCGAGGTCCAGGAAATGTCTTCCCTGAGCCATGACTCTTGGGAAGAAGGCGTCCCTGAACTTCTTCTCCGCTGATTCCTCTTGCAATGTTCCATAACCAAGTACTGCATTCAGACCAAATGACCAGACTTTTTAAGTAACGAGGAAACTCTGAGCAAAAATAAAAATAAAAATAAAAAAAAATCAAAACAAAAAACACAAGACTGAGTCCAGAACTAGTTCCCAACTTTGCACACTGTATAGGGAAAATCTAGAACCTCAAAACATCCAGAGAAAAACATTTGTTCAACGATAGATTCATTTACCCAGTGTTGGAGCCATAACGTTCTTGCAGCTTTTCCTCTGAAAACTGTAGTAAATCTCCAACAGTGCTCACGCCCAGGTCACTTTGTAAGGAGCTCCCCAGCTTACCTCCAAGTTGTTTCCTGCAGACAACAATTTCTTCAACAATATATGTGTTGACCGAACTTCTATTCCTACTAGAGTCAGTGAAATGAATTGGTCATCAGTAACCTAGCATCATATTCTTCAAAAACTGTTTTATTTCAAGCAAGATTATTAATTAAAATTAAAAAGAAGAAGAAGAGCAGATCCGAGAAAAGAAGCGAAATTTCTCTTTGAATGACAGTTTACATCTTCTTTATTGGCAAGGAATCGAGCAATCCTTTCACAGATGAGAAGGGCACGACAGTTTGTTGAGCGGGTTTGTTCATAGCACTTGCTAGCTTGGCCAAGATCTGGATACAAAAACATGTATAAGCAAGCAAATAGAAAAAGTTCAAGTAAACGAGAAAAAGGTTTATACCTTATTGTGAGCAATGCCTGCAGAACATGTAAACTCTGTCTCCTTCAAAACTTGCATCCTAAGTTCCGCAACGATGAGGCTTCCACAAGCTAAAAGCTTATCGCGACGATCAGCATCCTTCTTACAAAGCCACTCTCTTACATTTTCCTTGGCATCAATTCCTTTCTGAAGTCAACACCAATTTTGGTATAAGGGAATACTACTTGGAGAAGACAAGCAAGTAGCTCACAATTAAGCAGCACAGTCAACATACAAAAATTCTACTCCTCGAATTTCCTTGTCCTGTACTGTATCCCTTTGTTCCAACCCATTAGTTACAAATTTTACTCTCTACCAACATATACAAGCTCTACGCAATTTTGAGGAAGGGGCCAAAAGAAAAAAAAGAAAAAAGTAAGTCACCATGGCAACAACATTATAGGTAAAAAGATGACTTGTTGATCAATCAGTAAGTTTATAATAACAAATATAGAAAAGAAAAACATTGTGTCAACCTCATCATTAAGCCCCAAAACATGGGACTTGAGAGTTTCCTCGTCAACTAGCTGTAAATTCTCCGGAGGAGCTTCAGCCAACATTTTTTCGGCTGCATCGGTAAGATCAAGGTAGACTTCATCAATGGAAGCTCTCTCGCAGCGAACCTTCCTTGCGAGAATAGAAACCACCTGAACATCATGACCATTACATCTACCATTGAGTCAGTCACACGTTGTACAAAAAAATAACATGCTCAAAGTCACTAACAAATAAAAATGCCAAAATCAAATCCCCCAACACCTCTGAGCCCGCATTCCGGTATGTATTGAGGTCGGCTTTACCGCGCGCGACGGGGACCTGAACCAGTTGAATTTGGGGGCAAACTTGTTTTGCTTCCTCTCCTCGCATTGAACTGTAACACCCATTTACCCACATTGACACCATTTCATTTCATTAATCGGGAGTCTAAGAAAGAAACTTCTCTTAAGTTGGGACTTGGGAGGGAGTTATTTAATAATAAAAACTTTAAAATTTTGCAAGAAGAGAGAAGAAAAATGAAGAAAAATTTGGG